GTCTGCCTGGTGGAACGCTACTCTGGCCCTTTCTCTTAAAGCCAGGCTCTTTCGGAAGTCAATTCCCAGGCCATCATCGCGATCTGCGCTTGCAAGGGATGATTCCCCAGTTGTGCTGCTCAATGAACCTGGAAGTCGTGAACTTTTCCCAAACACCAAAATTTCCGGTGAAAAACCTCTGCGTATGCTTAGCGTATTCTTGGCATGAGTACTTTGAGCTAATGCTTGTTGGAGGTCTTCATAGGTCTCTATAGGTGATTCTTTATCCAGTTTATTGAGCATGTTCTGAAGAATATCACCGTGCCTTTCACATCTGCCATTTTGCCAGTGAGCGTGAGGAGCTATGGTCGTTGGCTTGATGTCATTGCGCTGCTGGAATTGAGTGAAGGTTTCACTAACAAATTCCGTGGCTGAGTCCGTGACCATAGTGCTTGGTGGTTCTGCACATTGCATCCACGACTCCAACACACATCGCGCGGCATTCTCGGCTGAACGGCTGGGTGCTGGTGCTGCGACATGAAAGTTCGTTGCCTGATCTATGATGTGGTAAAAATGGAAGGTCTTATTGGATTTGTTCGTCCATGTTTTCCCATCTAGAAATACCTTGTCATTGAAATCAAGCTCATGTTTGATGGTGCTCGGTCGAGCGATCTTGGGTTTTTGCATGGATGCACATGTTGAGCATTTCATGTCGAACACAGCTTGGTGAATCTCTGTTCTCACCTTCTGCATGCGAAGCACTGCACTGAATTGCTCTGGGCTAGGGTGGCATAGATTCTTGTGTGCCCTCTTCAGCATGGATTGTTCCTCACGCGACAGTGCCAAGAATCTGGGACCATGTGCCTCATCGCCAGGTGATTCCTTTGAATCATGTTCACTAGGGAAATCAGTGTTGGGATTTTCACTTTGGCACATCTCTGGTATTTCGTCAGTTCTTCCTTCCAAAGTCTGGCTCTCCTTCGGAAGGTCTTTGGAATCACAACCATCTATCCGAGATGGTGACAGCTCAGCACCGGGCGGTGATGGCTCTTGCTTCTCGGGTGCATTCGGGCGATCGGCTGCAAACACCGTTATATTGACCCGGCACGGATGCGACTTCCGGATTGTCTGGCGATTGGAGAGAGTGTCATATCTTTCCCATTCTGAATCCATGATTACTTTTCCATTGCTTCTGAGTTTCATTATTGATCTTCGGAACGGAGCCTCTCGATTGTTGAGGTCTGATGGAGGACCCATAGTTCTTTCAGTTCCCTTGCATGCTACAATCCTTTTGATTTCTTTGGAGGGAAACAGAAATTGTACCATTTGTTGGAATTTTGGTTGATCAATGATTCTCTTGCCAACACGTGGAAGGATGGGTTCAATTTGGGACATGATAAGTTCAATGGTCTTTTGTTCATCTTCGTTGGGATTGGCATGTGGTATGGGATTTGATTCATCGGTTTTGGCTCTCTTGGACTTCTTGCTCGCATCAGGGTCTCGGTCTGCAGCTTTGGTCTTGTTTGACCTGGAACTGGCCGCACGAAAACGCTTGGCTGGACGGTCGCTCAAAGCACAAATGGCATCAAACAATGCGAGTGCAGGATCGGCAATCATTCCGATACGAAGACTGTACGCTTAAAGTTATAAGACTTTACAGACTTAGCCTAGATATACAGAAGTTAAAGGATTTATGTTGGAAGTTAACATGACTTATCAAAAAGATAAAAGGAAGTTATGTTAACTTTAATAACTTATTTGTAAGTTTTGTCTTAACTTTTTATAACTTCTGCTAACTTTTTATAACTTCTGCTAACTTTTTATAACTTTTCACAACTTTTTGTAACTTTTTTGTATATTTTTATACTTTTGAAAGTCTTTGCCTTGGTTTCCGACCACGTGGATTTTATAACTGTCTTGTTTCTGAAAGAACTTTCAGATATGAGATCCTTTTTTTGAATCGACGAAGTGATGTGAAAGCGTTTCAGTTATGTATGTTTCAGGAATCATGACACCTGAGGCGATATGTTTTTTTTTAGTGATATCTCTGTCTGTATTTTTGGATCGGGAAACAAGTTGAGTTACAACTGTTCCCGTTCGGGATCCGTTATTTTGTTAAAACGATCCCGTTCGGGACTTGGTTGTTTCAACCTCTCCCTTTCGGGATCTGGTAACTATTTTTATCTCCAGGTAACTATTTTTATCTGAACTATAGCCATTTTTTATCTGAACTATAGCCATTTTTTATCTGAACTATAGCCATTTTTATCTGAACTATAGCTATTTTTGTCTGAACTCTAGCTATTTTTGTCTGAACTATAGCTAGTTTTGTCTGAACTCTAGCTATTTTTGTCTGAACTATAGCTAGTTTTGTCTGAACTATAGCGACTTTTATTCTGAACTATAGCTAGTTTTGTCTGAACTATAGCCATTTTTTTCTGAAAGACCAATATTTTTGTCTGAACTATAGCCATTTTTTCTGAACTATAGCCATTTTTTTTTTGAACTATAGCTATTTTTGTTTGAACTATAGCCATTTTTTTTCTGAACTATAGCCATTTTTATCTGAACTATTGCTATTTTTGTCTGAACTATAGCTATTTTTCTTTGAACTATAGCTATTTTTGTCTGAACTATAGCTGAACTATAGCTGAACTATAGCTGAACTATAGCGGAACTATAGCGGAACTATAGTGGAACTATAGCGGAACTATAGCGGAACTATAGTGGAACTATAGCGGAACTATAGCGGAACTATAGCGGAACTATAGCGGAACTATAGCGGAACTATAGCGGAACTATAGTGGAACTATAGCGGAACTATAGCGGAACTATAGCGGAACTATAGCGGAACTATAGCGGAACTATAGCTGAACTATAGCGGAACTATAGCGGAACTATAGCGGAACTATAGCGGAACTATAGCTGAACTATAGCGGAACTATAGCGGAACTATAGCGGAACTATAGCGGAACTATAGCGGAACTATAGCGGAACTATAGCGGAACTATAGCGGAACTATAGCGGAACTATAGCGGAACTATAGCGGAACTATAGCGGAACTATAGTGGAACTATAGCGGAACTATAGCGGAACTATGGCGGAACTATGGCGGAACTATAGCTGAACTATAGCTGAACTATAGCTGAACTATAGCTGAACTATAGCTGAACTATAGCTGAACTATAGCCGAACTATAGCTGAACTATAGCTGAACTATAGCTGAACTATAGCTGAACTATAGCTGAACTGTAGCTGAACTATAGCTGAACTATAGCTGAACTATAGCTGAACTATAGCTGCACTATAGCTGAACTATAGCTATCTAGGGACATTTATAGGGGAAAGGTTGAAAATCGAAGAATTAATCCTTTTCAGAAACTGTCTTCTCAGACCGGATCCTTCTCAGGAATTGTCATTTCAGACTCTTTCCTTTGCAGGAACTGTCTTCTCAGACCGGATCCTTCTCAGGAACTGTCTTCTCAGACCGGATCCTTCTCAGGAACTGTCATTCCAGACTATTTCCCTTTCAGGAACTATCACTTCAGACTCTGTCCTTTTCAGGAAGTATCTTTGCAGACCATATCCCTTGCAGGAAGTACTTGTATATGATACTTAGTTTAATCTAAAATGATCAAACCAAAGAACTCAGGCAGCACACGCAATATGCCTTTTTTTCACCCTGTATAAATGTTGACAAGCTTTGTCACAAACTTAATGAAACTCTCGAAAAATGTAAAATAAAGAAACATTTTCATTGCCCTCTTGTAAACATATTTTAAACTTTATATAACTTTATATAACTTTATACTAACTTTTTGTAACTTTTTATAACTTTTTATAACTTTTTATAACTTTTTATAACTTTTGTTAACTTTCAGATAACTTATGATAACTTTTCCTAGATACTTATGTTAAGTCTGTTAACATAGTTATAAAAAGAAAACTTGCAGTTAAGATACTTACGATAAGTTCATTAACCATTTATATTTTACCTAAACATTTACAACTTCTCGTAGCCGGCTAGCTAAACTTACAAATTACTTATCAAATGTTATGACACTTTACATACTTGCAAGCAGGTTATAGACATGTTATAGAAGGGTTATATACATGTTGTAACTCGTCTAATTCTGTAAACTCATATAACTTCCAGCGTACAGTCTTCGTAGGTTTCTCTTTGGGAAAGCTTTTCTTAAGCATGGTTTTGGCCACTCTTCGTGCGAACCGTCTTGGGTAAACTTCACTGAAAGCAGAGCGGGCTATTGACTGTCCATCTGCATGGGTGCTTCCCTCGATCGGCTGGTGAACATGATCTCCAGGGCATTTCAACGGGTCAAGCTCGTCAAACATTCTTTGAGACGACGTGGTGATGTTAAGTCCCTTTCTCATGTGGTGATGATTTACGGGGTCTCTAAGATCACCTGCCTGACACAAGTCGGGTTTGGCTGGCTTCATGTATTGATATATTTCTTGTATGTATGGAAGGGTCATCATGGCCGATCCTTTGGGTTGTTCCCAATGCATATGCCGTTGGTGCCGGACTTGGTGTCGGCTGAGCACAAAGCATAAAGCTACCTGAATCAACATGTCTTGGCGTTCAGTGTGGATTCTGTCCCATGACTCTAATGACCGTTGGCTATTAAAGTGAGACCATCTTGACCAAGGTTTACACACTGGACTTGCCCAAACATGCTCTGGTCGGAAGCGGCACAGCAACTTGAACAAGCTCACTCGCCCTTCATGCGTGTGAAGATCTCCTTGGTCGATTCCGAATCTCATGGCTTTACCCCCAAGCATGTTCACCTGATGTGTCAAGTTGCTTTCACTGCTGCAAAACACTTCAAGTAAATTTATGTGATATCCAGCATGTGGGGTCTGTTGCGCAACTGTTTCCAATTCGGATTCGATGGTGCGTACCCATTTCCAGAACATGGCTCTTTCTTGATTGGGGATGGATTCACAGAATGAGTCAATTTCCCCAGCGGCCAAAGCCAAGTCACATCCTGGCATGTCAGACTTCACTGATTCCAGGGATCGTTCCACTCTTCCTCGATCGGCATGATTGGGAAGAGCTCTGGTGTCGGATTGGTCATCATCGGAGCAGGAGCTAGATGGGCCAAGATCTGGTGCAAGGCGTTCTCCATGAGACCCATACGTTCCTGCAAGCTTGAGATCTGAGCATTTTCGGAGGCCACCCACGGTTCTTCCGGTGTCGGTTCCGTCCCTTCCGGAGACATCATGGTGCTCGGCTGAGCCTTTGCCTTTGGACGCAAGGGCATGGTCTTGGGTGCTGCATGGCTTTTGGGCAACACCGGTGATTGACGTCCCGGCGTGGGGTTCTCCTCCATGGCTTCGATCTTGAGCTTGATGTACCGAATCATCTTTCGGTGTGCAAGCTTGGAGCTCTTTTGGTAGTGCTGCAGGAACCACTGTGTCCACTCTGGACTGGAGTTCCATACATCCTCGTACGTTCGACCCAGATGGGTCTTTCCGAATGTCATGACCTCCAACTTCAGCTCCTCGATGGACAAGTGGTCTATCTCCTCGGGAGTCTCCTGCGGCAGCGAGGCTTGCACTTTGGCCAATCTCTGAGTCCAGTCGCTCATGGTGGCAACTCGGTGAAATCGGCTTGGGAACGATCGGAATCTTTGGACACTGACACAAGGCTTCGGTGTTGGTGGCGACGTTTTGATTCTGAAAGCTTTTGGTCTGAGAATTGTGATTGACTTCTTTTCCGTGGAGTGTGATGTGTTGTTCATTGTGTATGTGAGGGACATGTTGGTGTCTTTCATGAACACTCCTAAGCATCTGAGCTGGTTCTGTTTCAAACGCATCGGCTTTACCTGAAAAACTTTCAGGTGCTGGCGGTTCAACCTGGAATTTTTCACTCTGAGTTTCAGATTCTTGTGCAAAAGTCTCGGCAAAACCTGAACTACGCTGGACTTGACTTCCGGCTTTGATTAGCTGATTCATATCTACCAGATAAAGACCCTTTGGAGACAACTTCACTGGGACAGTGACCTGATGCTTTGGGAACTTCAGCATGTTGTCGCCGGTGTCAATGCTTGCACCTAATGCACGCAGCAACGTATTGGACAGGAGGAACGGTGTTGTTCCTGGCACTATGGCAATTTTCAAACCGAGGCCAAACAAAGGAATCATGATTGCATGTTCAGATTTCAAAGTACCCTGGTTTCCAAATCGAAAAACAACATCACATTTGCATCTTTTGACTTGATCCTTGACAGAGGGGTCCAAGCTTTTCAACAAGTCTGCAACATGCGAACTGCCTATGACCGTTTTCGTGGCACCTGTGTCTATAATCCCCCATGTGTCATGAGTGGAAAACATGGCCTCAGCTGTGCAACTGCTTGGAGAAATCTCGGATGCAAACTGTACACCTGGCTTCGGATGCCAAGCATCTGTTGTGCTTGGCTTTGGAAATCGGTTGTTTCCTTGGAACGCATTGGACTCTGTTCTTGGCTTTGTCGGATCAGGCTCACTTCGGCGCATTCTGGACTCAATCCTGCTTACCAGGGAGGCGACTTTAGAATTATTCTCTTTATTACCCTTAATATAGGTCCTAATCCTATCCCTTACCCCCATTAAGGATGCAGACTGAGTTGGAACTACGGATGTTTGACGGCGATCCTGGAAAAAAACTGTCTGTACAAAACATTCGGATGAAACAGATCGGCAGTCCTGAGCTGGTGTCTCGGTGATCTCAGGGAGCATCATGAACTCCATGGGCATGACATCTTCATGGGATTGGTCGGCGGCTGCCACAGACAACGTCACTGGAGCACTCTGACTGGCACTGGAGGCAGAAGACTGACGCATTGGACAATCCCAATGCCCCTTTTTTCCACACAAACGGCAACTTGTCTCCATGATTCTCTGTTGAAGGCTTTTACGGCTCGACCAGTTAGTCTTTGATTTGAACTTGCCTTTGAAGCCCTTGCCACGACCCTGACCTTTGATAGGCCAGAAACCTCTCGCTTTCACCTTTTCACTGAGTTTCTTGCGAGCCTCAACATAGGTGGAGTATGCGGCTGCCAACTCCGGATCATTCTGAACCAGTTCTGAGGCGGCCTGCTCAAAATCGGCCACAAAGCAAGCATCTTCATCTCCCTCAGCCACAAGCGTCTCAATCATTTCATCCTCTGGCATTTCATCATGTTGTGATACGTAAGTGAAATCATCGGCATCAGGTTGATTTTCTGTGTCATCCATGGCAATGTTGGCATGATCATATACTTTGGTTTTCACAGCTTTCTTGCTCAAACCTGTCATTTCTTGGAAAAACGACGTTCCCAGGAGACGGATGGCTTCCTGCACTCGCGGAACAGTCAAACGTCCTTCCAACGATGAATCACTTTCCAAAATCACCCGTTTTTTGTCATCGCTTGTCAGAAGAGCACCTCTCAAGGTAATGTATGCCTGCAAATCTTCCAATTTGAGCTTTTGCGATTGCAACTTCGTCCACAAAATGTCAGCTCTTGCAAGATACGAATCGTGGCTTTCATCGGCTTGCTGGTTACACTGGAACAAGGCACGTTCGGCATCGGAGTACTTTTTCTCTAATCCCAGCCTGCCCCAATGGCCCCCCAGCAACTCAATCAACTTCTTCACGCCCTTCTCGTCATTGACACACAACTCCTCATGGTGAAGCTGCAGCTTGGCGAAGGCAGAACCTGTGGTATTTAAGATTAATCTTGTAATTAACTCAGACACCTTGTTCTTTGGCCAAACGGCATGCACCAACTGCACTTTCTGTTGATACACCTGAAGGTCATCCTTACTCGGGTCGAAGGTGGGGACCAGGTAAGCTAACTGACTGGAGATGTTCTGCGTCGATTCAGTGCCATCACTTGCTGACGCCATTGCACCTCCCTGCTGAAAGGTTCACAGCAAAGCCAGTTTGCCAAAGGTACCCGGATGCCCCAGCCTTTTGCTGGGGCTCCGCTACCAATGTGATTGGTTAGCGGTTCTAACTGCCACAGTCACTGGTGAATGCCCCTCCACCAACTGGATGCTGCGGACGCGCAGCCTTTTGGATCTCGATGCACCAAGTAGCAAGTCCTCTTGCTAAGCTAAGGCTGAACACAGCCAAGGCCAGAAACGTATGGCTCCAAGGCGTATTTCCCACCCACCTCACGTCCTTGCAAAAAGGGCAACTTGAGCCCACGGCCTGCAACACCCTGCAGTGTGGCTTCTCTGGAACCCTGCTGGAAAAGGAGGAAGTGTCATGTATGGACATAGATGGAAATGAGCTGCTTTCACAATATATATATATATATATTCAAATATGTAAACAGTAAGTGTGTGTATATATATATTTATATATATATACATATTTATACATATTTATCTACAAATTTTAAAAAAAACATTCATATATATATATATATTATTCATTCTTTATGTTTAGATAATAGTGGTTCATATGTTTCTGTTCCTTCAAACCATGCGTTTCATGTGTAAAACACCTTGGATCCCCAGGAATTATTGGTAAAATCCCCGTGTTGTTGCATGCTGTTGCCACTATCTTTGCCCATGGTGGTTTGTTAACCCGCTGCTAGAACAGATTGTTTTCCCTGCCGGGGCGGAAGTTTCGAAAAACATGAAATGGGTATATAAGAAATCAATATCCTATAGGAAAGTTTTTGCGATGCAAAAACCATGAACGGTTGAAGTTGTGAGGTGCACCAAGGAATGAGCGAATGGTGCACCAACGACTCAACGGATCAATGCATCAATGGTTGAACTATTCAGTAAAAGTCAATGAATCAAAGAACCAACGAATCAGTTAACCACTGAATCAAGGATGCAATGAATCAATTTCAATGATTCGAAGATTCAAAATGAACCAATGAATCGTCAATTTTTCGTCAATGATTCAATGACTCAGTGAATCACTGAACCAATGAAAAATTGAATCGACGAAACAATGAACCAACGAATCACTGAATCTAGGAAGCAGTGAACCAATGGATTCAATGGCTCAACGATTCAATGAGTCAATGAACCAGTGAATCAAAGACGCAAAGAATCACTGAATCACCGAATCAAAAAACCAAAGCCCGTTCTTTACGATTTTGACGTGCAAATCGAACTCTCGGTACAGTCTCGTGAGCATTTTTCCGACCATATCTTCCAGACATTCTCTGAACATTACTAAACATGCCAGTTTTTTGCGATTACGAAGTGGAAATCGAGCTCGCGCTGTCTGGCGAAGATTTTCTGCCAAAAGTGCTCCGACATGCGAATTGATTTTTTTGGTGAAGTCTCATTCACATTTTTCCGCATTGATCTTCCAAAAGTGCTCCAAGCATACCTTTTTTTAACGATCTTGAAGTGCGCATCGAGCTCTTGCTATACAGCCCTGTGCACTTTTTGTCGACGACTTTCCCAGATATATAGGCCTGCAACCGCGGAAACAGAGACCTTACTTCGGCGACACCAGGAGCCACATCACACCCAAAAAAGCACAGGGTTTCGCGCCCGAGAGTGTTTTTTTTCGCCCGTGAGTTCACACGCGCCGAAACTGTGACACTTCCCAACTACTTGATGATGGGGTTGACATGATGATGGGGTTAACATGGTGATGTGGTTTACATAATGTTGTGAATGCGAACCATGACCACCGTCCGTAGCTTAAAAGTTTTGAAACTAAACTTCCTTTGATCAATACTAATCATCATTACTAGCCATGATTAGCCATTATTATTCACCATTATCAACACAAATCATCATTTATTAACCGTAATTAACCATTGCTATTCACCATTATCACCACGAATCATAAAACGATGATTGATCATTATTATTCACGTTAGCACGACTAAACATCATTATAAACCACAATTAAAAATTATCATTCACCATCATCACCACTTTTCAACATGATTCACCATGATTATTGACCATTCTCACCTTTTCATCATGATGCACAATGATTAACCATTATTATTCACCATTCTCAGCACTAAACATCAGTATTCACCATGATTAATAATAATGGTGAATCATAATGGTTAACCATAATAATAATAATTAATAATGGTTAATTATTAACCATAATTCTTAACACTAATGGTGTTCACCATGATTCACCATTTGATTCTTCGCCAAGTCCGACGTCGTCCCTTTGCGCGCACCTTGGGCTTGCCTGTAGACTTCGTCCCATTCCTTGGAAAGTCATACCCATAGGATCCATGTATGGTATATATGCTTGGGGGTATATGGGGAATATTGATGGTAAATGTTACCATACATGGAGCATATGGGATATGAGTCATAGAGTTTTTTGGGCCCCCCGTTGACGATAGCTGGGCATGGGTCAAGTTACCTATGAATTTACCACGTGGAGGTGAAACCATAAATGAGGATACCCCATAGCTGGATGGTTTAGAATGGAATATCCTATTCAAATGGATGATTCTGGGGTAGCCCTATATTAGGAAACCCCCATATGGGAATTAGCATCCACTAACCAGTTGTGACTTAGAGTACCTAGTAACCAGCTAAGTGGGTAACACAGCTCCAATTTCACTATGGTTTATGATACACAAATAACTACAATATTCTTGGGAATGTCATTTTGGAATGGATTACCCTCTGGTAAATTAACATAGACCCTGGCAGATAGGGTTTGGAAGATTAGTTTCCATTAAAACTAGGCTATTTTCAGGGTCTATGTTAATTTTTGAAATGGATTAGCAGTTCCAAATGACATGTTCCAAACGGTACGCTACGGAGTCATAGTTGGGATGTCGTGATCCCCAGAAGGTGAAAATTCTCATAGGAATATGACTACCATCGCCGTATTTGAAACATGGAATCTGTTATGGAATATGAAACATGGACTGTTAAGGAATACTACAAGGTGGTGCCCCCCAAGTTATAAGTTGGTTTATAATCTCATTAACTATAGATATATCACCTATAAACCATAGTTATTGGAGTTATAAACCAACTTAGCTATCTAGGGGGCACCACCTTGTACGGATTTTTTCGTGGTATTTCATTTTAGAAAAAATGAAAAGTGAAATTATGACTATTGGTCTGATGTTCTTTTTTTTAATATACTGTGGTGATAAGGGGTAATTTAAACGTACAGTAATACAATATAATACTGCAGTGGGATAATAAAATATAATAAAACAAAAATAAATATGTTGTATAGTGGTAAATCACTTGATGATCATGGAAAAATGTCATACTACCTCCCCTACTCCATCCCATCAAATACTGCTTGGCTGATGTTGTTTATAATCTATTCTCCGACAAACCCGGTAGTATAACCAAGAAGAAGAGAATCAGCAACGTATTTCGAGTGGCTCAATGGAAGTTGGAAAAACAAATGCTGGTTGGTGGGGGCTACCTACCCCTCTGAAAAATGATGGAGTGAGTTCGTCAGTTGGGGGTATTTTTCCCAATATATGGAAAAATCAAAAATGCTCCAAACCACCAACCAGAATAAGAGTCAAAACCTG